AGCGTTTCCTTACTTCCTGGCCAAACAGCTAGAGTATCTTCAACGGCTTGGACCGGCTTGGTTGTAAACCAATGCTCGTAAAATTTCCCTATTACTACGAGCCTGTCGCACTTCTAAATTTTGTTTCCAACCCACTGCTTTATTCCCTACGTTTGCGAGGTTATCGCCGCAGTTTGGCCGCCCTTTGCAAGTTCAGTTGCAAGAAGCGCCATCGTGCCAGGAGAGAATTACGACAAAAGACAAGAAGCTTCACACCTGTTTCCACTAAGTTGGAAAGGACGGAAATGAATCCAGGGGCGGACCGGGCGGTCGGGCATTCGGGCGCGGACCGAGGCCCAGAGAACTTTGGAGGCCCGGAATTCACTAGATTTCGAATGACAACAAACCATTATCCAAAAAGTCACCTGGCGGAAATCAGTGTGATATATTTTATAGCACTTCAGACTCTGCCCTTTCGAAGTAAACATTCAGAATCTATAGCAACTGCTTTTGGTGACAGTACAGGCTGTACAGCTGCAAAAGCTATTGTAAACCATGACAATTTTCTAGGGGCTGTGAAACTTATTGCTGAGTTCTATCCAACACTGTAAGCTCATTTGAAGAAAGTAATCAAGTTGGCAAAGAAACGCGATCACAAAAAGAACGGTGGGGCAAATTTTGTAACTTTTCTCAGCAAAACAAGTGTTGTAAAGATTTTCAAATTGATCGCAGTGATGTAAAAGGAGAGAATTGCCAAAGATGTAAATGACGCTGGCTTATTTTCTGTACAGATCGATTCTACTACAGATGTTTCCAACCACGATCAGTATGCTGTTGTTGCAAGGTATGTAGAAGAGAACAAAGCTAGAGAAAAGCTATTGCGTCTTGTAAATGTGTCCTACTCAAGAACCCAAAGTCTCCACAATTTATTCGAGAAGTCTTTAGAGAAGTAGGAGTTTAACTGGACATGTGCATTGGACGGAGCAGCTTAAAAGTTGTACGTGTCTACAATGGCTTACCGACAAGGTCTACTTAAACAAGTCCGTCCAAGCCATGTCCATATCTGGTGTGATGATCGAGCACGTCGTCAATTTGATCATTGGTAATTCATCCACCGTTTCCGTCCAAGCTGTAAGTCTGCTACTAAATCAAATGGAAAATCTCTTCAAAGAATCTTACAAGAACATGAATGTGTGGGAAAAGCAGATGGAAGATAACACCGGCCATGCATAGCTTCGAAAATTAGCGAGGTTTTGCCAAAACCAGGTGGTCCAGCCGAGCGAGAGCCTTGAAAAAATTGTTTGGCAGTTTCAATGACGACACTGAATGAACTATTCTCGGATCTGTTGATGATTCTACAACACGTCAATGAAACACCAAATTTCAAAGGTAGTATTCGATACAAAGTCAAGTGCCTGGGGCAAAATCTTTCAAAATTTGAAACTGTGTTAGTAGCATTCACATATATTCCAATCTTTGATATCACCACTCCAGTGTCGGACTATCTGCAGACACCTGGATTAGATATTTTTCAAGCATAGAGAATGATGAACGAAGCAACGGACAAACTAAGCAAGATCGCTATAGAGGTTTTCTTACTATCTACCAGCATGGGACAACGTTTATCAATAGAGTTAATGATAAATTATCCGAACAAGGCATTTGTTTAACAACCGACCTACCAGAAATTCGCGCAACAGCAACGAGAGGAGAACCTGGAGCCAAAGTGCTGGAAAAATTTTTTGAGATAAATTGTCCCAATGTTATCCTGGGTACAGTGGTCCTAAGCATCAGAAACCGATTCTCTGATCACAAAGAACTATATATAACGAGATTGCGTGCTTTGATCCTAACAGGTTTAAGGAAGTAAAAACACACCCAGAGATGATCTCTAACCACGATAGCTGAAGCTTTGACTTAAGTAGACACGGTCTCCTTAAAAGACTTGACTTATCCTTTAATTGCTTCAAATTACCATCAACTGAAACAAGGCTTGTTACCAGGAAATGATGACGATCTCAGCGACTTATAATTCAATTCACATATTATTTTAAGCAAAGAAAATAATATTTTAAAAAACTATATATTTGTGCACTTGTACATGGGCCCGGATTTTATTCCTGACCGAGGCCCGGAATGTTACCAGTCCGCCCCTGGAAATGATAAAACTGTAAAGAATTTAGTAATACCTGCGTGTTAATGGTGGTACGATGCGAACGTTTTATTGCCCCCGGGCCCATTTGAAGTTCTAAAGTACGTCAAAAGTATTGTGGTAGTATACAGTCTAAAGTATTTTTAAGTACTATTTAAAAAACGAGTTTTTTAAATGACTTCAAAAACGTATGCATAATAAGTCAAATCTTTATATAAAAATCTTTATATAAAAATCTTTATATAAAAATCTTTATATAAAAACCTTTATATAGTTTGCATAACAATGATGGTCTTTTGTTTTAAAAAGTGTTCTTTAGCTGGTATAAAGACGTATGCACGTGACTAATTTCTTACTCAAGATTGGATAATTGCTTCATGAATTATTAAAGAGTTTTTGAAGTATTATTTAAAAAACGAGCAGGAGTGTTTTATTAGGTTTAAAGCCACGAGCGCGCAGCACGAGTGACTTTAGACCTAATAAAACACGACCTGCGAGTTTTTTAAATGGCTTCAAAAACGTATGCATAATAAGTCAAATCTTTATATAAAAATCTTTATATAAAAATCTTTATATAAAAATCTTTATATAGTTTGCATAACAATGGTCTTTTGTTAAAGTGTTCTTTAGCCTGATAAAGACGTATGCACGTGACTAATTTCTCACTCAAGATTGGATAATTAGTTCATGAATTATTAATGAGTTTTTGAAAGTTACTTCAAAAACTCATTAATAATTCATGAACTAATTATCCAATCTTGAGTGAGAAATTAGTCACGTGCATACGTCTTTATCAGGCTAAAGAACACTTTAACAAAAGACCATTGTTATGCAAACTATATAAAGATTTTTATATAAAGATTTTTATATAAAGATTTTTATATAAAGATTTGACTTATTATGCATACGTTTTTGAAGCCATTTAAAAAACTCGCAGGTCGTGTTTTATTAGGTCTAAAGTCACTCGTGCTGCGCGCTCGTGGCTTTAAACCTAATAAAACACTCCTGCTCGTTTTTTAAATAATACATTAATACCAGTGTGTAAAAAAAGGTAGTCGTAATTTTAGCATATATAGATTCAAAACAATTGACAATTCATTTAAAAAGCTCTAACATATGGGTAAAATTAAATAATAAGAGTGGTACATACCCGGCTAGGGGCGCCGGAGGCAACGCGAAGCGGCGGGGGAAGCCATCAGGGCAGTCATTTAAAGGGCACTTACTTCTACACTCTAATTATTGTGGGCAGCAATGTTCGTTGAAATATTTTTTTTCGGAACAACGGATACTTGATCACTTGTATATAGCTAATTGGACAAATTTCGGTATTGATTGGAACAATTTTATTCGTTGCATGACGCTAAAGACTATAAAATGCATTGTGTATAAAACAACATGACAGCTTGTCAATTATTTAAGAAAGCTTTCTTTTTTACTTTTTTTCATATAGGTGGAAACCTTGTGTGACAACGTTTTTGAGAGGAATTTGAGATTCAAATTTGAGCTAAGTTGTATGACTGGCCAGTTATATTGGCATGAACTATTAGTTTATTATTATATAATATAGGCATTGCAAGTTCGCTGCAAACTTCAGTTAAATTCGTAAAATGTTTTATCCACAAAATTTCGTTGCCAACTTGCCAGTTAAATCATCTTTAAATTTACGAAGACTTGTCTTGATCATGATTGTCAGTCTATACTACAAGGTACAAAATGTACCAGAAATCTTTTGTAAGATCCATCATCATAATACCAGAAACGCATATCGTCTTCACAAGTCTTACAAGAACAAATTACGTTCAAATCACGAAACATTCATGACACAGTGACATTAGCAAAGGAATTTGGAACGGTTTTGCGAGTGAAAGACTTCAAACAAATAAAATTACATTTCACCTTCAAACGAGAGGTAAAGGAACACTGGAAGTTAATAAATGCTATCAAACTAGGGCACAACAAAGCATAATTAACATGCTTATAAGCTTATTTCTATGAATAACAAATCGTAATCGTATAATGATACGATTACAATTTGCTATTCATAGAAATAAGCATATTAATTATGCTTTGTTGTGCCCTAGATTTATTATGTATAAAAAAGCCAAATGGTTTCAAATTAGCTCCTAGCCGCTCTTCTTCTTTAATATTAGTCAGTGATTTTCATGTAAATAAATATTATATGGCAAAATCAAATAAATAAATTTAAAAACAAATAAAACCAATAATGAAATTGTGGATCTGAAATGCACAAATGATTTGGATACCCAAAAATAGTTTTTTAATAATAATCAGTTTGATGAATAAATCGACTCGATTTCCCTTTACTAGCGTACGATCGTGAATGATGCAATAGAGATTCAGATTTGACTTACCGCTACCATTTACGGACTATTAACCAATCAGATGCGTTTGATATATCCGATTAACCAACCAAATGCGTGTTAAGCCAGTGAGAAGTAGCGGTAGTGGAAATCAAATCTGAAACTCTCTGACTTTACAGGTACATCCGACTCTTTATAGACTGAGAGAATAAAGAGTCGGGTGTACCTGTACAGTTAGTGAAGACTGATTCACATACAGCAGAGAAAGACGAAATAGATCCAAACTATTTAAAACACTATCGGACATGACTTAATTGGTCACGACAGTTACGACCAAATGTATGGCAACCAGGCTAGGTATATGAAGTTGAATGCTTTGTATAAACACACTCGTACAAATTGTCGTGCTGGCTTCTTCACTTAATATAATATCACAACTACAGCTATGAATGGTTGGACGAGGAAGTGCATGACGTATTACTGCATGTACGTTCCTAAGTATTTTAATGAAAAACAAAAGAATCAAAACTCTGAAAAATTCCATTTTTGTTTCATTGAAATTTGAAATTCCATTTCCACTTCTACTTCCACTTCTACTAATTAGATTCTTAATATGAGATACGAAGGTAGTTCAACTGTGAAAAAGTTGTTTTTTTTATATAACACAGGCTATAATAGTTAAGAACTATATTTCTATCCAGCTGAAATTAGCATCACCGATAAGACTTGGCATCACCAAAGTCTCGCTATTTTAATATTTTGATAATATTTGCCATCACACTGATAATATGGCAGGCAGCTGATTTCACAATCACATGCATGTTAAAATATTTTAATCACTGTAAAATTACATACCCGTTCGATAAATTTCTAAATTATTATCGCCTAGATTAGATAGCTATAAGTAGTTAATTTGATCTTCAAACAATCAATTTGCCAATACAGCAAACTCCGTCCGACGTTCCATCTTCTGGCGTGTCACAGTTATCCCAATTACGACACGTGTATAGCTAGCTATGTTGCAGGTGGGGTGCTCTATCACTCCATCGCCTACAGACATATATGTATACGCTGGCTGTACTTGCACACCTGTCCGCCTTATCTCTTTTTATGGCATTTAATTTTTGTTTCGGATGATTACCATACTGCTGACATCACAATGCATAGAGATTGAAATGCGCGATTTCTTGTCGATGAAAATAATCCATGAGCGTCATAATTTGGTTAATTATTGTAAAATGCGCGCTTGGACATATATCCATCTGTAAACCGCAGTATATTAATGTATTGTATTATTATAATTATTTGTAACTATTGTCAATTGACTGATTGTGTGAAAATCCAGTATAGCTACTTGTATAAATTATCGTTTCAAAATAATGCAATATCACGTACGTCATAAAGACATAAGTAAAACATTTGCATATTTATTCAGCAGAAGTAACAAAGCAACATGAGATCAAGTCCATAAAATATGATATTCGATCATTTTTCGTTTTTCCACCACACAAACTGAAGCACATGAATGAAATAGCATTATCACTTAAAATATTTAAGAAAAATATTGGGACTTTAGTCCTTCGAACCCTCTGTATAAGGTGCACGGAAATCTGCCCTGCGCTCAATTTCCCAGGGCTGTACATTCGCTGTGAAATTTTAAAGCAGCCATTTCATAAAGTTCCAGCATGCAATGGGAACTAAAGGGGCACCATTATTTTTTATAAATGATTACCATTCGCTCGTAATGGCATGGTATCATATCTTGCGTCATAATCTGAAGCTTTCATTCGGTCAGATTTGCCAGCTTTCACCGAAAGACACGAACAAACTAATGTTGCAACTGTTCCGACGGCAACTAGGAATGCGGCCCAACCAACTGTACAGTTTCCTAGTTCGTATTTTTTTGCATTCTCCCCACACGCTTGACGGACTTCAACACAATCCCATCCAAATGGAAATATCACGCAGGAGGCGACAAGACAAATGGCTGAAAGAAACGAGAAGAAAACTATATGAAGTTTTATACTATACACTCTTACACTCTATACCATAGCATATACCATACCATTTATATTATAACATATATTATACTGTTTGATACTCGATTTGATACCCATGTATTAAGGCTTGCATTAAATTAAGGCATTTATAGTTCTTGAGGAAACAAGCGAACAATCAATTGCTTTATTTTGGTAACATAATGGTTTAATTCAGACCTAGCCAGAATTGGATCAAATTAATTCACTTGTATAGTAATGACTTGAGAAAGTGAGATAAATGCGAATCACCATTAGCCTGCAAATCAGTAACCCAGCCCGCGGGCGCTCAGTTGGCAGAGCATTGGACTAGTATCCCAAAGGTCGCGGGTTCGATTCCCACCGTAGCCTGCGTGGCAGGCCCTCAGTTTTATGGGGGGCCAGATTTGCAACGGGCAGGATTCCCCCCATAAAACTGAGGACCTGCCTTGCAGGCTATTCCCAGCGTGCGGCCAAGCTAACTTTTCAGCTTGCCCGGTGTGGATGCACACTCTGCATAGTAACATCACAAACATCATATTCACCTGAGTACATAACACACACAAAATAATCATATCATAGAATACACTGATATCGAAGGAACTAGACTCAGTTCCGAAATATCATCAACTCGAACCGACTTGACCACGTAGCTCAGTTGGCAGGGCATTGGACTAGATATTGGACTAGTATCCCAAAGGTCGCGCGGGTTCGATTTCCACCGTGGCCAAGCTAACTTTTCACGGCTTGCCCAGTGTGGATGCACACTCAGAGTAACATCAATGTTCATTTAGTTTTGCAGAACCATGCAGGCTGTATTCGGGGTCCTTCAGAAAGTAACATAAGATGGGTTTTATTTTGTTTATCACAAGGTCGTTGACCATTGCATGATAAACATCATGCAATCAAAATTTTACCATTCTCAAATGTAAACAGTGATTTTAGCTACTAATGATAGTCCACTTTTTATTCCCACCATGAAGCTAAATTAAAATGATAAATCCAGGAAACTATTTTTGTCGCCAAAATATCTATTCTTTATTGTTATGTCTTGTCTGAAAGTCATACGCTGGGCTTTAATATTTATCTTTAAAAATCCCTAAGGGTGATTAACATCTCCAACAGCGTTAGTAAACAGCCATTATCTGTTCGTCCAGCTTGGAAATTAATTTCAAGATCTAATCTAGTCTTGCCATATGCTGATATGCGTTCAATCTTTATAATCCATGTCAATAAAACTAATATCTCACTGTCTACTAATGTTTTCCGAACATGCAGTTTCCTTGCTAAGTAAGACTTATTTTTATACTTGGATATAGAATTCCAATCCATATAGACCGGACGCGATTTGGCAACGCGACGCGAATTTTCAGTTTTCAATGGCATTTAACTTTAATATTCTTCAATGTTTTTCAAATATTCGGAACCACTTAAGCAATTTTAGCTACTTGGTCTGCATATGCATCATATCTTGTAAATTTTTTATCCGTTGACGGTTTTATTTGTTTTTGAAAACTGAAAATTCGCGTCGGTATTGCCCTGAGTACACAACACCAACATAGAAAAAATCATTTTACTAGATTACATTGTCATTCGATGTCATGTAGATAGGAAGTCAACGTAAATTGGATAGGTTTGATGATGTTATAAGATAAATACAAGATTGCTATATCCCGCAAACATTTTGTTGTGCTTTACGCGTGCACACATATCCCAGGATTCTTTGCGGTCTCGATATGCGAAAACGATATGCATGGATATACTGGAATTGCTTACAAAGCACACACCACCGAAGTTGTTTATTGTTGTTTTTACTGTGATCTTTTGCTATAGTCACGAACAAAACCCGGCATACCGCTAATTATATACCACCTCGAACAAACCTTCGTTTTTGTTGCTAATCATAAACAAAGAAGAAAAACTTGAGAAAATCAAAATCCAACCTGATACTCAGGGTTTTTACTTCCGCTACCCCCGCGAAATCCTTTGAGTCTAATCCTAATTAGTATGACTGTATATGAGCGCATACAAACAACTAGAAACATGCTGAATTCTAGAGTAAAAGTGTAAATCTAATGGGGCAAAATAAGAGCGAGCCCTTCAGTTGTGTGGACAGATGATGAAAGCGAGTTTCTTTTTAGGTGATTCTGGAAAAGCCACCACAGGTTATAATAAACAATTTTTCAACAGAGTCAGAGACTGTTCAGTCTTGTTGTTAAATCTAGCATAAACGTCAGTATTTTTAACATTTAATTTCTCAAAGTCAAAGAGACTATATGTGGTACGAAATATTTATACTTTGTAAACTGTTAACTGTTAGTCTTGAAGTATTCTATATATAAGGTGGCAGCGATTACTTTGGTTAAAATTAATTTCGTACGAAAAAAGAATAACTACTTTTTAAATCGGTCCATATATATATACTGGTTATACATGTTACATCAGTGATGACATTTAATGCACTTAGCGGTATGGCTCCAGGATATTTAACACATGTTGACATGCAGATGTTTCATGTCTCTCTCAACCAAACTTACCAACTACGACATAATCATCAAAAGCTTTATAAATTATACCTACCAAAACCTAAGACAGATTTTTTAAAACGAACTTTCTCATATAGAGGAACTGTTTCATGGAAAAACTTCCAATAATAAAAATACCTGAAACGTCTATCAATTCTTTCAAGAGACTAATGGCTTGTGTATTTGAACTGGGAGGTCATCATGCCCATACGTTTATATAAATAGTGCATATTATGATTATTTTATAGTTAATAATTTTGATATTTTTATAATAATTTATAGTAAATGAGCACGGGTCTTTGAAAAACAGACACTTGAACAATCATAATAATTAGCGTGGGGACGTTTTCATCGGATATAGGCCCTATACTGTACGTGCAGACGGTATAGGCGTATCCACAACAAAATGCTTGCGGACATACAAACGAATCCGGATACGTGAGGTCAGGACCTATCAATAGACTACACAAAGTGGCCTTACAAACACCTCACAGAAAGAAAGTTTCTCTCCAAATATTTCCTCATAAATGTCCTCGTCACATCTGGCATTTGGCTGATTTAAAGGTTAATGATAATATTGGGATCATCCACGAAACGAAAGTATCTAAATATATAAATACTCAATTCTAAAATTAACAAATCGAAGTAAGACAAGTACGCGTCTCATATTTGAATATTTAAACACCAAATGCAAAATTATTATATTTCAATATTTACATGCAAGGTCAATTTTCATGATTTTAGATAAATCAGATAACAATAATAGTATATTTAATCACTCGATTTAGTAACAAAGGAAGGATTTAATAGTGTTTGCGAATCGATATTCTGATACACAATACTGTAATTTCCTATTGTTTTTAATCCAGAATTTCATTTTGTGTTTATACAATCCGATCATGAGGCAGCAACACTTGAAGCAACTAATGAAGATATCAATATATTTGAGTAACTACAGCAATATAAATGAGGTTAATGGCATTGTTCACACTAACGATTGAATACTTATCGGATATTAAAAGTTAATATTTAAATTTTAAAGTAAATCAAAATCTACTATAATGATTTGTAAAGGAAAGAACTGGTAAAAATATCTGAAAAATGACATGACGGGCTAACGCTCTATTACCAATCATGAGCTTCAAGTTAAACCATACTATTTATAAGTAGCCTACGTACAGACACGTTTGCGAGTTATTACTGAAACATTATTATTAATAATATGTACAACATGTACAACATTCATGTCTGTAACAAACTAAAGACGTGAGTGAGTTGCGTCAAAACACAAGATGCCATGTGAAAAAAACCCTTTGTACACATTGGTTGGATTTGATGTTTACGGAAAGCAAACCTTTCGACCTTAATAATCAGTTTGATGATTTTGGAATAAAATCGAAATATTACCGTATATTGTGTCTTCTTGTTTTTAACTCAAATCTTGAGCGCGCGAGATGCTTATTTATGTTATATTTCTCGGCTGGAATGGAGTAATCAAAGCTGAACATTGTTTCAGGCAAGTAAGTCAGTGGTCATTAGGATTTAAACACAACAGATACATTAAAGAGTAAATTCAAGAGTACAGTACATATTGATATATCCTGTATATTAAGCAAATATCACTTACCAGCCAGGGTTTGAAAACATCCACAGACTCTTGCCGTATGCTTTGTAATAATGTCCTGAACACAAATTGCTAGCAGAGAAATAAGACTAATGAGAACTAGGATGCCACAAGCTATCCCTAACATAATGGTACTTCCCTGCCAGGCAGTCGAGGGAATATCATTAAAGCGTTTGTAACGACCACATTCTTCGCGCACGTAGTACGTGGTTGTAAACGACTTTCTGGCGAGGTAATTACAACGACGGAATACACCAAGGTGAACTGTAACATTCATGATTTCTCCTTCGAGCCAGTAAGGCAAATAAAAGCCAGAAGAGCACAAGATAGCAACAATAAATGACAACATAGACCATATGACACCGACCGTCGTTAGGCTGTGCATTTTCGATAATCTTTAAAGCGCCTTAAAACTCTTCAAAGTTGTTAATGTTTTCCCAGACCTTCGTAGCTTACAATTGGATAGACCCCAGTAAGCTTTTGACCTTTTGCTCCTTCGTTTACTCTCGTAAATATGATATCCGCGGCATCCTTCGCGTGTGACTAATTATATACGGAAATTGTTCAATACATGCACAGTATTGGTCAGCATGGAGGCGACTCAGGCGAGTATATTATCCAGTTAGTTAATTTCATCCTGTATTAGAATGAAACGAAAGTAAAACGAAAGGGGTTAACAAGTAATTTGAAAGATAAGCTATGAAGATAACACGTCGAAGGCAATTGCTTTTAGTGATTAAAGTAATCGAATCTTCATGGCTGATGGCTTTCATCGCCTTGGAAAGGCGGAATGTTCCGAATATCTGATAAAATGGGCACAGACATTAATTAATTAAAGTAATCCTGATATATAGGATCAACGGCCATGCACGTAAAGATCGACCTGTTTCTCGACCTAAGGCCGAAGCCGGATTCGAAGAAAACCCAGGTTCGACTGAAAAAGCCAGACCCATGCACGTCTTTGAGAAAACCAAGACTAGTACTCGACTTTAAAAAACCTTTAGCCAAAGCGAAGTTGCCCCCTCCCAAATAAAATTCTAGCGGCCCCATTGCTTAGTTTGTAAAGGCTGATTTCCACTGTTGCGTTTTTCGTACGCACGTACACGCACGTAAAACTTGGAATCCTTCTATTTTTTAAATAAAATGCATATTAAAACATGCGGAACACTAACGCCCGTATTCTTATCGAAGCTCACTCACACTCGCACTCAATGAGTGGAGGTTCAATCTGAGCTTCTCTTGAGTGTCAATGCTGTTTCTGAATAACTGAATGGTTAGTGTCGCACCTTACTATGTGAATACTCACCCTCCAGCTATTCAAAAACAGCATTGACACTCAAGAGAAACTCAGATTGAACCTCCACTCATTGAGTGTGGTGAGCTTTTAGAATACGGGCGTAAATTCTGTTGCTCTATTTATTTGGTTATTTCATAAGTAACATTTAAACGGATTTAAAGTTTTACGTACGCATACGTACGTATGAAAAACACAACAGTGGAAATCAGTCTTATTACCAAAATGCGTTCAATATGAGGAAAATCTTGACTATGAAGCAACAAACAAGAGGCGGACTTGCAAGAAGAGCCTGGGAACGAGGTTACTCGCTGCTAAAAAGACTGCCGAGCATTGTGATTGGTTGAAAGAACTCACAGCGGGCTTGAGAGTCAACTCGACTCTTGCGATGAATGGAAAAGAGGCTTTAACATATATAGGCCATGCTTTTTTCTTAGTTAAAAGTGTTCTGATTCATTGTGTACTGACCAATTGGTACGAATACGCTGTTGATAATCATTTTTTAATTGTAAATTTAAGAAACAAAACTGACAAATACTGAGATTTTATCTTATTTTATGTTTTGTGTTCGATTAGTTGGGAAAATCCTTCGTGGTGATGTGTGATGGTATCATGTGATACTCTGTTCCAACTCCGCTTCTTTTTGGTTGCTTCACATGCAGTCAAGATATTCCTGCTTTGAGCATAGGCCGCAGAAGCAACTCAAAAGTGGGGGAGGGGGAAATGACAAAAACGGGCACTCCATAAGCGGATCTATCTTACCGCGGTTGCTCGACCTCGCACAACTGGAGGAAACCTCGGAAGTGCCATTAATTTCTGCATTCTGAGCGTCAGATTTCTTTCTAAAACTTGTCCTCAACGAACCCATAGCCAGACAAAAAGTAACTTTTATGACCGACCTTACGCTTCCTAATAACAAGTAATCCTAATATCTAACATCTTTATCTAAAATAGAGCACATTAGATAATCCAAAGGACATCTTTCGTTAAAAAAAATGGGTTGAGGGGCACCGGCCCCCAGTGCCCTAATTGGCTTTGAGCTCAGTAATTAAACTGTCTTCTATTCCGCTTTTTCTCCAGTCTGCGTTTCTCCGAGTCCGATTTTATCTGTTGGTTGCCACAGCATATTGGTATATGCGTGAAGAATGATGCCATGCATAAAAATAATTTATGCATGACCATGGGCGGTTAAAGCAACCAGCTGACGTGACCTACATACTGTATATATGAAATTCGTGATGTCACCAATACAACGAATACACATTCATAATTTTAAAAATCCAGGACCTTCAAGGACTTGTTCTCTTCTTTTCCAGACGTTTTCCAGGGGCATTTGAAATATGAAAAAATTAAGAGGCAACGTACGCTTTTCCATATCTCGTATTTGCGATGAAAAACATTCAAATCCTAAAATCTTTTTGGCGTTCCAACGTATTAAGATACTTTAAATATTAAAATACTTTACTGATATCTTATACATCAATTTAGCTTTCCAGGGTTTCTTCAGGGAATACTTTGAAATTCCAGACTTTTCTAGATTCCAGGACTTCTATAAAAATCCAGACTTTTCTAGGGTTCCAGGGAGCGTGCGAATTATACCCTGACGTTTTTCTTCCACTTTCCCACATTTTTCGCATTCACTAAATTGAGGTTCAAAATGGTTTCAACCTACCCTTTTAAACCTACCTGTCGCACGGCAAAATATTCGAGATAAGTGTTGCTCGTCTTCGATCGTTTCAGTCACAAACTGAGCTACTGTTGATATAATTGAATTTTGTGACGCGTATATTTTACGTACCGTCTAATGCTTGATATGTTCCCTGAAAATGACCAAATTACCTAACAGGCAACAATATTTACAGTTTTCCATCGTATAGAGTGACATAGTTGTATTCTTACTTTCTTTTAATAAACTGCTCAGCTGCATTATTGCTAAACGTGGAACTATAGTGATGTCATAATTTTCAACGGTTGAGATGCTATCATTATCAGTCCAAAAACATCATGCGTGATCATGAGTTTCTTAACCAGTGTTTTGCGATCCATGATGTGACGTAAGGTAGGCCTTAGACTGGTCAGGTGGAAAAACGCGGATATGCGGCGGACACAATATTTATTAACGAATTAGCCTTTCTCACGCCGCCATTTTTGGGTGGCATTTCAGCAGAGGTCTGCGAGATAAGTCTACATAACAGCTACTTTTTATAATTTTTTGGACAAATTATGGTAATTTGCTTTGCAAATGGTTAGTTTATTTTGAAAAATTGCTTTTCACATTGTTTTAATTGTCTGCATTGGTTAACGAGAATTGGATGCCACCCAAAAATGGCGGATATTCGTCATCGTGAGAAAGGCTAATTCAGTAGTATATCCACTGATTATGTCGTTTTAGTTTGTGGAAACACACGTAGGCCTATATTAATTTATTGTTGCAAAGCTTTCGATTCGTATATATTATAAGGAATTCTCAGTGCTAATAACACGTGACGTATTAAAGTTTGTTCGAAATTTTATGGTTTGCCTAAGGCTAAGATACATAAACTTCAAACAAGCGTGATGTTCCACAAAAACCTATATTGTAGTTTCCCGGCAAGGTTCGCCAACGTGACTCATGAGATATTGAAGCCAGTTGTTAGGAAAATCAGAACATGAAGCAAGTTCTAAAGGATTCACATATGCGGTATGAAAATATGAATTTCCGAAATCAAGACCGACCATAAAAGAGGTTCGTAACTTCAAACATTTCTCTGATTCTCATTTTCGTGCTGATCTATACTTCAGATACCCTGGATACGATCTGTTATGATGATCCCAACACAAGTTGGATCGTCTGGAAAGCAATTTTTTACGAATTTCTAAATAAACATGCACCACTTCGTCATAGGCGTATTAAAGCTCATTATGTCCCGCGGATTACACCTGCAATTAAACAATTAATGAGAAGCAGAGACTACCATAAAAAGAAAGCCATCAAATATAATTCTAAAATTCACTGGGATAAATACAAATCTTTGCGGAACAAAGAAAATATTCAACTGTGTGAAAGCAAAGCTAAATTTTATTAAGAAAGAGATTGGGGACTGTGCTAAATTAAAGGACTTTTAAAAAAATTTGGTCACTCATAAGCTCTCTTACTGGTAAGAATAAGAAATCTACCAGTATTACAGAAATAACTGTTGATAATAACAACATTACCGCTAGTAAGTACGTTACTGTATGTTGGCCGCGTTAAAATTTCTTGTGGGCTCCTGCCGATACGTTTTTCTTCGAATGTTGTATTTAAACTCTATTACAGTTTAAAAATGTGAGATTTCAAATACCTTTCTAACACAAACGACTTACATCATTTGAAAGCTTGCAAAAAACTACATATAAGACATTTAAACAGTTACCCGGGTTTTTCAAGTTCTTCTTGAGTTATGAGCTGTTGAATGCGTGTTTTCAGACTAGTGCCCAGGAATTTTGCGAGATTATGGCTTATTTTTCACATTTGAAACCATTCTCGCACCCAGAGCCCTTCTTACGCGCGGTGCGACGAGGGGCTCTGGCCAAATCCATAACCGGATACCATAAAAACATGGTAAGAAAACAATGTCCGGTGTTAGAACTAGCCAATCAGATGCCAGTTCGGAATATTGATTTGGCCAGAGCCCCTCGCGTAAGAAGGGCTCTGGGTACGAGAATGATTTGAAACGGCAATAACTCAAAAACCGCTTGACTAAAATCCCAACTAACCATTTAAATGTCTTATATGTAGTTTTTTGTTAGCTTTCTAATGCAAGTCATTTGTATTAGAAATGTATCAGACATTTCACATTTTTTAACTGTAATAGAGTTTAATACAAAACTCGAAGAAAAACGTGTTGGCAGAAGCTCACAAGAAATTTTAACGCGGCCAACATTCAGAAACTTACTTACTAGCCTTCAGGGCACAATATGAAGGCAAAATGGAATTGTCCCACGATATGGTAAGTTTTCCATAATTTTGATCCTCTATCTGCCTGACTAATTGTAAGCAAAGTGTTTGGAAGGGAGGTATTTCGACAGCTGTATGGCTATCTCTCTGATAACTCACTTCTATCTAAATTTCAATCAGGTTTTCGCCCCAAACACTCAACTCTATCTGCTTTAATACGAATGTGTGACGATTTACTGAAAAACATGGATAATGGAGAATTAAATTGTGTAGTTTTCCTTGACGTTAGAAAAGCCTTTGATTCCATAAATCACGAGATACTGTTAGACAAAATGCATAATTTCTTCGGAATAACGGGAACTCAATTAAAATGGTTTGAATCATATTTGAATAATAGAGTACAGCAATGTTTGATTAATGGACAACTATCGAGTCCGAAAACGATACATGTGGAGTTCCCCGGGGGTCTGTCATGGGTCCTTTATTATTTTTATTATATATAAATGACATGCCTGATTCTTAAGCTACTCAGTTTCATCCCTTTATGCTGATGATACAGAAATATATGCTTCCTCTAACAACTGTGATGATCTTGTAGATAAAGTAAATTTTGATCTTCAAAATATACATAAATGGATGATTGAAAACAAGCTTCAAACGCACTCTAATAAATCTAAACATATGTTTATTGGATCATCCTATAACCTTAAGAATAAAATAACTAGGAAACCTATTCTAATTAATAATCAACCAATTCCCAGGACAGATAGTTACTCGTGCCTAGGCGTGAATATGGACGAAAGACTTTCCTGGGAGAAACATATTGATAATATATGTTCAAAGGCTGGTGCTGGTATTGGTGCAATGAGACGAATTAAGCCTTTTGTCCCACTACCAACACTAAAAATGTTGTATAATGCCATCGTGCAGCCTTACTTTGATTATTGCAGTCCGTTATGGGATAATTGCGGTATTGGAATGAAAAACAGGCTGCAAAAATATCAAAATCGGGCTGCAAGGGTAATTACTGGAGCAAACTATGATGTTCGATCGGCTGATTTACTTAAAAACTTAAGATGGGAACCCTTAGAAGTAAGACGCAACTACTTGAAAGCTATTTTCATGTATAAAATAATTAATGGCCACACCGCACGTAATCTAAAAGAATCGTTTCGATCAAACAACGAAATAGATAATTCGTACAATCTCAGAAATAGAGAAACTGACTTAGCACTTCCTATGCCAAAGAAAGAATTCGGCAAGAGGTGCTTTAACTATAATGGGGTCTCACTGTGGAACAATCTTCCCCAGGAGGAAAAAAATTCAGAATCGTTAAGCTCTTTCAGAACAATTTTGAATAAGAGAATTTGTTGAATCTGGCTCATCAAAATATAGTACAACTGTGCTATTATTCACTTGTTGCTAATGTGTTTTATCCTGTAAATAGTTCTAAATCACGCTCCTCATGAAAATCAGCTTGTAATGTTGTTGAGGCTAGCGTGAATAAATAAAGTTTGTATGTATGTATATGAATTACAAAAATGGAAAAATTAAATTAGGTGAAAATTATATAAGAAGTTATTACAAAAATGGAATAAATTAGGTGAAAATTATATTTTGGTAAGTTTTGACGTAGTACGTTTTTACTAATGTTCCAGTTGAGGAAGCCTGTAATATCGCGAAAGAAAGAATTAATAGCGCACTTCCACAAAGAACGGGTCTTTCTCCTGAAATTATATATGATCTATTAAAACTATGTTTCACTACGAATATTTCCAATGGCGGGAGAAATTCTGTGAACAAACACACAGTGCTCCATAGGACGTCTATGCATTGACCATTGTCATTTGTGATGGCCAATTTGTTGATGCATGGGCGAATTTGAAAAGAAGGCCCCAGCTATACTGCACAGTGGTTTCAAAACATTTCATAGTAGACGTTGCGATGGGAAGTGTAGAAGTTGCAACCGAAGGCCGAACTTCGCAACTCGGAGGACCTGACGGGCCTGTGACGGCATGCTTGCAGAAAATTTTGAACTTCTAGGGCTATACGAGATGCATTTTCCAGCATTTATTCTTGAGACACAAAAAAATCATATTTTAAATGTCTAAAACACTGTTAAATTTATGTTCTTTTATTATATAAAGTATAGTGCTTTATAGAGATTTCGAGCACTGATAAAAGTGATAATCTCACATGTGAGATTATTTATGATAATCTCACATGTGAAAATTATCGCTTTTCAATTTTCGCTTTTCTGTAAAAAATATCGCTTTTCAAAGACTGTCCTTTATATAATAAACAGAAAAATACATGGGTGCTTGGAAATACCAGATTTATTTCTCGTGTTAAACATGATATCACATATCATGTTCAACACTCGAAATAAATCTGGTATTTCCGTGCACCCATGTATTATTCTCTATATTAATGCCTTTAATTAGCCCTTAAAACTTTTAATGACGAATCAATGTAAACTCCATGCACATAGCTTGTTTGATCTATTGCAGCAAATATATTCAAAACATTTTTATTTGCAATTGTCTGACATGATTTTGCGAAAATCTACGTAAAAATGGAAGAAATTCTTAAAGGAAATTTGAAAGAAATTTCAATATTTTTGAAGGAAATTTTAGTCCAAATCAGGAAAAAATAAGGATTTTTCAATTTTTGAAAGTCGAAGCACTGCTCTGAGCATGTCCTCAACGGGCAAGACTGCCAGAGACGTATCAAGGCTTCTAATCTGTGGCTGTGGTTATGTTTCGACGAAATACACGCTTGTTTTCTCACAAAACGTTTTGTAAACACTTTAATATTTTAACCCGAATTTATAGTTAGTCAATACTTACAAAAAAGAAAGTAGCCGTCGCAAATGGAAGAGTTGCAGTCGGATGTGACGGGCGACGGCTTATTTTGAAACCACTGCTGCAACGTCAAAACATGGTTTCTGGTTTAGATACGTGGATGATATACGTTGAGTAGCTGGTCTCAATGTCTAGATAACCTATAGCTCCAAAGGTTTCTGGAGAACACTAATATAATCGATAAAGTTAACATTAGAAGTACATGCAGAAGGACGATCAAACTATACCTTTCTTAGATGTTATTGTTTACTGTTCAAGAAGATGGTTTGTTATAGGACATATGGTTTATAGGAAACCAACACACACAGATACAGAGATTTCTTCATGAGTTAATTTGAACAAAGAGAACGAGCGAATGCAATGAGCGAGTGAACTTTGTGAAAACAAATTAGCAAGTAGACACAATGGTATATCACCACAAGTAAAAACATATGCAAGATAGCTTGCCGCGCTATCCCAGTGATTATATTTACTAGCAGATTTACAACTGAACAGATGTATACATGCATGAATTCATGATAAGGAAGACAAGGTGATTTTACATTTTCGGCACATAAATTCTATTATTACCATACAGCATACAAGACAATTAGGATCGGAAACACTACTAAAAGTTGTTAGTCGGTAAAATGCATATTATTATACTATTAAGGAAGTTCTTAACTTGCAAATTTAGATTTGATCCCAGCCCACAGTTGCAGCTAGACTGATCGACACCTGCCCAGGATGAGGTCTTCTTTTAAAATTCCAAAGTCGGTTGACAAAAACCACTAAAAAGAATTCATTACACTTAAATTGATTTTCTTGATAATAACAACCGTGTACTATTATTAACGACTGCATGGTATTTAAACAGGACCCAAATGGTAGATATAATTAAGATGCATGGATAATTATTATACGTCTAGGTGTATATGACGTTGCATTCCAGTTCGTAAACAGGAATCATCAGTTATCATTTTTACAGAGCGAGCGCTTGTTTTTTTTAGAACTGCATTGTAATTATACAGCGAGACTTATGTCTGAATTGTTATTAATTAATGTGAAAAATTATACAACGAGACTTGTCTGAATTGTTATTAATTAATATGAATACATGATAATTATTAATTACCGTTAGTTAATTTTATATAATATCCCTCGTTAAGATAAAACGAATCCTTCAATTAATGATATTTAGGGTTAAAAAATATATTCATGATATAATATATTTGCATCTATTTTCTCAACATTATCCAAAACAACAGTATATCTTTTATAGTGTCCAAATTTTTATTGTGTGTGATCATAAAGGCTGTTTTCCATCACGACCCCTTTGCCCGCGCGGGCGAAGCGATCTCGTTTGGGCATGCGCAGCATAGGTTTCCTGTGTGAGAGTTTACGTCCGCCCTGGTGCTCGTTCATGGACACGATTATACAATTACTTTATGGTTTCCGTGTTTGGATGGCCTGATCCAAACACGCGGGAATGTTGCGAGAGTAAAGAAAAGCGCGCGAAACACGAGCCAAAGGCGAGTGATTTTGCGCGCTTTTCTTAACTCGAGCAACATTCCCAAGTGTTTGGATCAGGCCATCCAAACACGGAAACCATAAAGTAATTGTTTTATAAAATGACAACAACACGATAGCCTTTCGTGTTTGGATGGCCTGAATCCAAACACGGATTTCGACCAATCAGAGCACGCGTTATATACATGTTATTTTATAAACTGAAGTTGAAATGTTTTCAACTTTCCAGGCGAACGCGCGCGATCGTTAACTCACGCGTGGTTGGAATAAACCAATGAGATTACTCAGATTTCTTTTCTTTGTAGATTTCTCAAATCCAGAATCTCTTTTTGTACTCTTTCTCTTCTTAATATTCGCCTTAAAATAATCAACTTATCTGCACTATACCCGGCTTTATGCACGTGCTTTGTCGTCTTTTGGACTCTTTTGAATTAACAGTGTGCATGGTATTGAACATTAATGCATGAACAATAATATAAGGAACGAGTATTGTCTATGTGTGTAATTATATCAACTTACTTGTCTCCCCAGGTTTTAATGTAGCAGACATCTTTTTACATATTCTATCACAGGGAGCGGTTGCAGTAAGTATGATTTGACTCTGACCTTTAATCTAAAAAAATTACAGTACATGTAGTATTAATAGTTTTGTTTGTGGAAACACCACGTAAATTTATTACTGCAGTAATAAATTTACGTAGTGTTTCCACAAATTATTATTAATTTATTATTGCAGTAATAAATTTATGTGGTGTTTCCTCAAACAAAACTATTATATTTTATAAGAACATATAGTATTTAGAACATGTAGTATTCCTATACACATATTATTCAGCTCACTCCCCAACGGGACTTTTCAGTGACCGATTACATCATATTCATTACACGGCGTGTAATTTTAGGAATTTGTGTAAGTATACAGTATATTTAACGTTTCATATCTCTTTCCCCACAATCTTCAGGCGATTGTTTTGAAGGAATTTTTCAAGGACAATGCAATCGCCTGTACAAATTGTCTCAAATGAAACAATGGGAAAATAGAAAACCCCATACTTAATTCTTTTGTTCTGAATTATAAAGAGAAGAGCCTGTGTATAGAAATAAGCAGAAACGTTTCTATTACCTGTGTTATCCATGTAGCACTTGCACCAAACGAAACCTTTACAGAAGAAAATATATAGTGTACATAACTACGTATTTGTATAGGTAATGTGTAGGTATATGGTTTCGAGTGCAATTTGGGAAAAACCTGCACGAGTGAGTTTTTCACATACGATCAAAATTGAACGAGTGCAATTTGAAGTCTTTGAAAAACTCACATGCATGAAGTGTATGTTTTTTCGGATTGCGCGATCACCTAAACCATATATATAAATTAGTGGGACTGCAGAAAAAAGACTCCTGAGATGGTAAATTAGTCAGTTATTAGAAATTCATGCATGCAAGCAGCAACCGCTCGCGTTTTTAACCTGCAAACATAATTTCAGCACGAAGTATTCTTAATTACCCGGCAATAAAATGACTGAACGTGTTATAGCCTTCTCCGCATGAGGCGTCTCTATAGTATAGGGTTTGCGTTCGAAAAAATTCTAATTTATTTCCCGATCATTAATTATAACCCTAGTACATGCGGATGCCTGCGGAGGAGTCTATGCTTGTGTCAAATGGTCAAACTGACATCAAGTTGTCGTTATGGTAACACAATAATTTTTCAACCCATTCTCTTCTTTCGTATATATATCATCGTAGCCTACAACCAACCTCGAATCTATGTATATCATAACACATGCAGGCGGGTCTTCTTATATTTTATACGAGTTCGAGAAATCGAGTTACGAGTTCAGAAATTGAGTTAAACAGTTTGCACATGAGTGATATAAATGTAAAATAACGTGTGCTAATATATTCACTAATTTATTCCAAATCCATGCATGAGTTTTTCGTTGCCGTTCTATGGTAAAAGTAATTTCAGGACGTTATAGCCGCATTTTTGTGGGTGCATTAAAGGGCTCCAAATAAACAAACACCACCTTACACATTTTATTTTTAGCCAGTCTTAATAATACAAGTTCAATTTTTGTTTTTGTTGAAGTCTCATAATTATATAGTCTTGACTCTTGTGTATAATTTAATGCCATTATCTATTTGTCTGGTATTTCCAACTGAGGCATTTGTCTTTATTATTTTATTATGATCACACAATTGCAGTTCATAACAGCAGATTATATGTATTTCTGATTTGTTCTCTTAATTTGATAGAAAATTAAAAATTACTAAACACATCGAAAGAAACATAGGCGTACGCCGGGCTTTTTTTGGAGGATTGTAATGAAATATAACTCTTTATTGCTCCATTGCAGTTACAACATGAGCGAACCTATAAGCTTTATTTTGACGAAGAGGCGTTTAACCACGTTCGTCATTATACAGTTTTCTACATCAGCTCTAAACTGTTCTTCCCGGTTCGTGCAGTGCACCGATAAAGAGTACTCATTAATGGTGTAGTTTTGCGGCCTTCGACACTTTTCATTTTAATGTGGTTTCCTATATATACATTTGTAAAAAACAGCAGCGAAAGATATTTATGTGAAATGTAGATATTTTTCCGAAGTCTAGAAACGCTTGCGTAATCTTTTTACTTCAACTAAGCGACAGCAGACAAAGATTAAATTTTGGACTACAAATGAATTTATTAAAATTTCCTTTGGTCGAAGTTTCTGAAATTCTGTAGGTGTAAAGGAAATAATATCTTGTGGAAGATTTTTCAAAAAATTAATTTTACTGTCGACGTCACATTTTAAAAATTGGATTAATTTTACTGTTGTCTTTACTTCTTCAAACTCCAATATATTTTTCTTTGTTCTTCTTTTTCCTGGTTTTTTTTTTGCTTTGCTGACTATGCATGGTCATGCAGACCATATAGGATTGGACTCTTCGTTCTTCATATTTTCAGGCCTTTAATAATTTTCATTCCTTTGGTGCTTATGATCTTGTCTTTCCAGTAACAGATTAAGCAGTTAAATACCGTTCATCGAGACTGTAGTGTGAGACCAGAGTCCTGCAACATTTGCATTATTCAGAGTAAGTTCGTTCTCTTTCACGGCCCAATTTTTTGTCCAAGGAAGATATAAACACTGGAATGGATAGCATGCACCACAAAACAATCGACTGCTGGCAAGCAAGTCGATAAAGTTTCAGTTTTCAAATAAACGATTTTTCATCTCCGGGGATATTCCGTTGTTTCTGCGACTTTTCCTGGCAATTGTGAACAACTTGTAGTTGATGAACACCATTCGGGGAAGGAGAATAATGTACATGCAATTATTAGAAGACCGACTTCATAGGAAATAAAAAAGTCGTTTAGACATAAGTGCGAAAGTATAAGGATATAACAATAATCAGTATTGTAAGAAGAGTTAAACGTCTTCCCTTTGTTATCGACGTTCCATGAAAGATAAGATAAGATGTCGCCAAATGTCGACCAAAATTTATCACCAAACGAGCGAGTGAAGAAAAGCAATGAAAATGTGTGTATATGGCTCGTATCGCGATGTTATGGTTGACTGGAAAGTTGACACTATCTAATCAACCATAACATCGCGATACGGACAACTTAAAACCACAAGCAAGTCGCAATAGGACAAAACCATTATCATGAAATAACATAATTTCTTTCGAAGTTGTGCAGATCTCGAGAAACTGAGTATGACCAAGGTGTTTAAACATATTCCTAAGAAAAAGAATAATACATTCGCAGCAAATATAAATATCAGGCTGATAAAATAGATGAGCTCTATTATTGAACGATTAGTATAACGACTTCTCCTGAGGAATTGAACATATACAGAAGTATAGACAGCAGATGATATATGTATGTATGTATGTATATATATATAAATCGTGAAATATAGGCCTATAGGGCAAGCTTGCTTTGAATGTTCAATTTTTATGAATTTTGTTGCTTTAATTTTTTGCGTAATACAATGGCTGTCAATGCACTGCTTCTTTTTCAACCAGTAGTCGCATGTAGTTTCCTAAATTACCCTGTTCAGTTTAAGAAAAATGTAAAGGAGAGTAAATTAATTTCAACACCGAACTGAAATTATACTCAATAATTTGAACTTGTTTTGTTTTGTTAACTTAAAAACAGTTTATCGGCAAACGCAGTTTAGTTGAATGAACATCAATTTCAAAACATTATACGAAACGTTTTAGAGTAAATTTTACAACTATTAAATCAAAGCTCACAAAATGCAAAATAACATAGGCCTACCTACAGTATATATTTCGGAACTGAATTGTTGTATAGTTAAAAGTACTAAACTTTCAACTATTTTTGCAATTTCATACAAAAAATATAAAAATTCTTTAAAATTTAAAAATAATCGTGTTGCTATGGTAACACTTGAGTTGACGCGCAACACAAGCCGGCGTTCAGTGTATTTCTAGTATTTTGTCTTATTGAGTATGGACAACTTGCATGTTAGACGAAATTTTAATCTAAGTAAAGAGGAGGAAATAAAACACAATAGTTAAAAAGAATATATATATTATAATATAGCCTTATATAGCATATTTTCAGTATATTTGTATTACGTGCGGAAATTGTTACCATTTTCGGCTCAAAAATGGTAACAATTTCCGCACGTAATATAAATATACTGAAAATATGCAAACTTCGCAAGGCTATATTTTCTGTATTTTACAACATTTCGCAACCAAATTTTGCAATTTTACTAATTTTAACAAGTTCTTTACGGGAATTTACTTTTTTTTGCCTAAATCAAAAATTAGTCTAACATGCAAGTTGTGCGACCCAGGGTACGAGGTTGACAATAAAGCCAACAATAATAATGATTTTGCTACTTTTACATGAAATTGATCAAATTAATCCATGCGCCCCCACGCAATGGCCACGCAGCAGCGACGCGAGCGATAGTGACAACATAGCGCCTGGGTACGAGGCAGAAGTATTATGCTAAGTTATACTTGGCTATTAGGCCAGACTATCTTTCTTATCTATTTATTTAATTTTTCATTTTAACGGTACAGAAAGAGTTCCTAAATAATTGACAAGCTGTCATATCGATATCAAAATTCGTCACCAAAAGAGCGAGTAAAGTCTTATCAATGTGAAATAGTTATAGTTCCTAACTTCAGGAAATATTCACCCAGCTAGGGTATACATCATGCAACGTTCCAATCAACCATAACATCGCGATAAGAGCCGTTAATGGATGATTAGTTAAAACCACAAGCAAAGCGAAACAGGACAAAACCATTATCATGAAATAAAATAGTTTCTTTCAATGTTGCACAGATCTCCAAACACTGAGTATGACCAAGGTATTTAAAAATATTCCTGAAAAAAGAATAATACGTTCACAGCAAATATATAAATATCAGGTTGATGAAACAGCTGCGAGCTTCATCATTAAATGACTTCTTCTGAAGAAATTAAGACAAAATAAAACCGTCGTGTTTTAGGTATGACATCTTTTAAATAGAATTCTGACTTAAAATTTAGTCTAGAAGTATAATGACATATCGAAGTAGTATATATACGTTATCATGACGCATGTAACATGTACGCTTTGTTTAGATATTATATAATAAAATTAACAACAAGGGCTTATTCGTATATAGAGCCTGCTTGTCAAAACATCTTTCTTACCTCTATTCTAGGCCTCGTGTAACATTACTGTAAAATTGATATGAGGAAGAGGACGGTTCGAACCCTACTTGGTTAGATCCAGGTACATGTAAGCAAGTCGAGACCACTGACCGTATATAAAAAAAAATTTCATATGAACTCACCAGCCCGCTTATACCGGGTAGTCTAGGACCTGTATATGAGTTTGTATGCGTTTCATTTAGCACAAGTAATCTCAACTGTTTTAAGGTAAAATGACCATGGCGGTCAACATGGCATATGTGCCAAAACCTGAATCCGGGACGAAAGTCCTGAAAATGACTCCGCCCTGAAACGGCAGTGTCGACATAGCTCTAACTTCCGAAAAGGCAAAGCGATATAGCCTTACTGAAGTGCTAATAGTGTTTAGAAGGGTTGCTTTTAGGGGTGGTCATTGGAAAGAAAAATTTGTCTAAGTATAATATTTTACAAGAAAATGACCATGCACCGCCCCAGGTAAATTGCCAATTATGCATAAAATAACTAATATAGGCCTGGCAGAAATTAAATTTTCTTATTTTCTAAAAAAAATATCATGGGGTGAAAAACTATGCTTAATGTAATATAAATATTGTTGATTTCATAAGGATTGTCACAGGTACATGCATGTAAGCAAGCCGAGACCACTGACCTATATATGAAAAAAATTCATATGAACTCACCAGCCCGGAGAAACCGAATTTCGTATTTTGCAAACAAGTACAAATATGTTCCTAAAGTAATTCTTTCTCTTGCAAGTAAATGAAGAAAAATACCAAAATCGTTAAAACATTGGTGTTGCAAGACTGGAATATATAGAAGTTTGCAAGCGCTAACAATTGCATGTAATTTCATCTCGGCAGGTGCATGAGCCCTGATAAACACGCCATAGTATCCGCTAAGGCCTAAGTGAGACAATGGTAAGCAGACCATATATGTATCTGTTACAGGTTTTAACAATATTTTTTAAATATATGTTCGTGAAATTTGAAGTTTGAAATCCATCTCGATGTTTCAACTCGAACACGTTATTTCAACTCGAACTCATATAGATTATACAAACTTCACACAGGCGCACTTTATTGTTTTAAATCCGCTTGCTGTTCTTTTCTCGGGCATGAATAGCCGAGCGGAATTAGCACTGTAGCTCGGCCCGGGCCGCCGATGGCTCGGAGATATACCAGGCGAAGGGGTGCATTAATGTGTTTCTAGTTTTACATAATATCTTACATATTCCCATTGCATTTTGGTTTCATTATTTTCACTACCATACGCTGCAAAGATCCAATTTTCTGTCGCAGCTTCAGCCATTGGAGGCAAAAAATACGGTCGTCGATAAAATTTCCGAATACTCTTTGCTGTCGCTGGTTCACAGTTTTCCCTGAAAAATAAGGTTGCAAAATTAAATACGTACAAAATTTAATACTGTTAGGTCTACAAAATTTAATACTTTCTTCAGCTTCCTGATATAGCCAATAGGGCTCTCTCTTATTTAGGATTAATTCAAACAGAAACGATTTCCCGTTTTGATACACAGTATACACAAACATTGTATAAGTGTAGAAATTTCCATGAAGTAATCTCTATATCCCCACGATGGACGATTTATATACGTGTGAAAATTCTTCACGATTTTTCTGACCCATGTGTAGAGGAGGTTTTAAAACAATATAACTCGACAAATATGAACTCATGCAGAGATCCAAGATATAGAGAGGTGCTGTAGAAATATTACCACCAATATCCATTGTAGAAACACAGCAATGATATACCGGCTTTGGGCTGAAGTAAACACATACTATTAAGGGGCGAATCCACAGTATTTGGTAGCTTAAGCCTGGTTCACATATGCCTGCGACTGTATCATTATGCCTCTACTTGCCGCCAAAATACCGGCAAAGTTGAACTCAACTTTCCCGGCCTATACCGCCGATGTAACTGAGGCACTGGCGGCAATCGGCGAACAAATGTTCACATAATTTACGTTTTAAAGCTACCACCTGTATCGTCGCCGGTACGTCGCAGGCATGCATATATGTGAACCAGGCTTAATTCGACTGAATATAGCAATTGGGGATGGGGTGGGGTTATCCATGCCGCGAAACTGCATTTCTAGCTGCGTTCGGATATTATATCACACGTTAAGATATATATAGGTAATATATTTACCAGTATCCTTGCCAGTGGTCCAACTTTTGATCTTCCACAAGAGCAAATAACTGATGAGGAGACTCAATCTCAGGATTAAATGCATCAAATGTACAATAACGTTCTGGTTCTGAAAGTTTGGTATCCAGATAGATCTGGAATAAAAAGAAACTAATTCTTCTTTGATTCAAACAGCTTAAATTGCGATTGGATTGTGGATTGTATAATTCTAAAAGAAAATACCTCGTATACATAATATACATTGATTTATGTGGAGAAAAATGAAATTTGAAATTCAATAAGGAACGATGAGATTGAAAATGGGATCGAACCAGTGAAGTTAATTTGTTGAGCACAGACAATGCGCGCGCGGTGCTGTCGTTCGGCTACGTATTAAAAGAATTGTGGAAATTCTACACTAATATTTAATGGTGAAATCACTGAATTACGGACGATAAGGAATCGATTGAGAAGTTGATAGAACAGGTTAAATAGTAACTCCAGACGAAGGGCCTTCGCTCGAAACGTCGAAATTCTCCTTATAAGGGCCTTCACTCGAAACGTCGAAATTCTCCTTATATTTTTTCAGCTACAGTTCCATCCCTACCAACGAAAGCTTGTTTATAAACTACGAGGGGGGGGGGAGTGTGCTAAGAAATTTTTAATGCGAAATCGGGGTTGGCTTGTTCCACTTCACTGGAACTAGTTTTGCTGCAAGATTCAACTTCGGAGACAACAAACGACTTTTCCAAAGCCTAAGTATAACGAATGTCCGTGCAAAGTTGACGATCGTAGAGTTAGACGTTAAGTGTGCAGAATTCTGTGGCACGGCTTGTTTGAGGTTCGATTCATCCGACGATCGTTTATCAAATGTGGATAAAATAACAATTTGCAAAGGCACGTGGACCAACCTAATTAAGATAGGACGTGAGAGGGACAAGAAAGATGTCATACCACTGCAACTTTTATTAGAGTTTGATTCAGAAGTCTTATATAATTTCTAAAATGGTGGAGGGATGCGTCACTGGGTTGTAGCCTTTGCATTGTACCGTATATGCAGTATAGCATAAGTAAGCTTTGAGTGCTGCCGGAAATATTTGGGGTAAGGATGTTGAAATCTGTGGTATACATACAGTATACGAGGTTTTTCGGTCAACTTTGAAGTCTTTCCACAGTTGTTTAAGTAATTAAGATATGTTTCACATGTTGAATGTGCTGATCAATATATGTATGTAATGTATGACCAGTTTACTTTAATTTTGGCCGCGGTTTAATACTGATAACAATACGGCAAAGGTTCAATGAAACTTTGGAATTATAATTATAAAACTGCAATTATAAATTATAAAACAAAAAATACCTCTTTTAGATTATCCAAATCAAAAGTTTGAATATCAACAGGCCAATCATTGGTAGCGTCAGTGACAACGACTGGAATTGCATTGAAAAGATAACGATTTGTCATTTCATCTTGGCTGACATTCTTTAGTCGCGCACCAGAGATTTTTTTACACACTTCACAATCCTCCTCTGTCATAACATCATCATTAACAAAGTATGGGTTTTCAATCAAACAATCTTTTTCAAATTCTGTTGTCCAATCCCAATAAGGCAACAGCTAGAAACAATATAGCAAAAGAGTATAGAAGCTTGATAAATTCTACTAAGGGGCCACGTCCATATTACCCTACTATGGACGTGGCCGGCCTAGCAGTGGTTTCTGAGCTGATTGGGGAGGAGGAACCACTGCAAGCAAAAGAATGATCGTCGTGCAGATCATAAAATGAAAAACTGGTAAAAACAAGTTTGACAAGCTTTTGTTGTTCTGCTCATGCGTAAATGCTACCACAAGTTGAAATCATCACTTTCTAGTATAATACTGTATACAAAGTGCAATAATTTACAAAAGTTGGGCGAAATCTGAAAAATTATACCTCAAGCTAGATGACTTGAGAATGATGTTGAGAGATTATGAGTTCCATAAATTCAATTTAACCCCACACACACACACATAATTTTCAGGAGAAGGGCGTGTAAAGTAGTAAAGAAGAAAAGTTATTTGTAGATACCCAAGTGCATGATAACTACGCGCAAACATTCCAGAGCAGCCTATAGCCCATTCTTTTTCTTACTTTGTACTTACTGAATATCTCTATCTTTCCGTTTTTGGCACAAAATACAATATGGTGGTCAAGCGTACTTATGCCTCAAAGAGCAGAGTAACGTTTAACTTAACACCATTTCCTATAACATGCATGAAGTGATACTATAATTCAGGGGCGGATTATAAGGGTCCACCTTGTGACGTCATTGAAGCAAGTTCTAGTAAAGGTAATTTATAAGATTACCAACATGATATTTATCAAAATGGCCGTCTGGTTTCATCTACGCCTATACTCATTCGTCAATAGACAATTCCCATTATAGACTAATTTTAAAACTTAGCATGCAAGGAGATGCAAATAAATCACCACAGCTAGAAATAAGAGCACACTAAAATGAGCTGAGTAAATTGCAGAGTTTGGTTGCGAAATGTTGTGAAATGTGGAAATATATAGCCTTGCAAAGTTCGCAAATTTTGTATACTTTTGTATTGCGTGCGGAAATTGCTACCATTTTCGGCCCAAACGTGCACTATGCAGGCCCACTATTCGTCCCTCGGTGGGCCTGCACGCGCAGTGGCGGAAATTCACTTTTTCTGGTGGTGGTGGTGGGGGGGGGGGCAGAGCCTCCTAAATTTCCGACAAAACTTTCAAATTTCCGACATACCCCCCATTTGCACTCGAAAAGACTGTTTTTAGCCCTCTTTTAGGTCAAAATTTCCGAAAATTCATCAATTTTCCGTGAAGGTGGGGGGGGGGCGCCCCCCCCCCCCGCCCCCCAAGATTTCCGCCACTGTGCACGCGGGCTAACGTATTTCCAATGGAGGATGTCAGTTCAAGATCGTTGATCATAATAATGAATATATAGGGCCCAATTTGGTTCCTTGGGAACAGCTGCATTGACAGAGCCCCCAATTAATCGGATTGAAAGTTATCGATCTTTACCGATTGACGGCGATTTGAGAGAAAGCTGCATATCCATGCATGGGATAAGTGATTTTCTAACACCAAGGGACAACAGCTTTGAGACCAGGATATTATGGGCAATGCGATCAAACGCTTTAATGCTAAAGTCGAGAAAACAGATCCGTAGATACGTCGATTGATTGTCCAATGTTCTTAACCAATTGTTGATCATATCGATCAGACAAAAAGTTGTGGAAGTTCCTTTGAAGCAACCAAATTGCTGTGGGTCGATTTTAAGTTTTACATCATCCATCATCCAATTGACCACAAAGTTTTCAAGGATTTTAGACAAAGAGGCTGTAAGTGAAATTGGACGCAACTCGTCCTCACAAGATGCAGATGGCACTTTAGAAATTGGTGTAATTAACGCATCTTTCCAAATATTAGGAAATTCACCAGTGGACAGGGATGTTTTAAAGATGTGATCTGCCAGTTCACAGGCAAAATCTTTAATAATCCGGTTAGGAATATTATTAGGACCGCTGGATTTGAAAACTTTTATATTGAGCATCTTGGTACAAACTTCATCGGGAAAAAAATTGGGTATGGGCTGAGGTGCAGGGAGATAGGCAGATAGAGTGGTACTTTACCAGATAGAGTGGTACCATTCTTAACAATCTTGATGTTATTGGGTGCAGATCTCTTTATCCCGGACATCTGATTGACGCAGTCCATCCATTTTCTGGAGTCACTAGATTTTAGATGTTGCACCTTGTTCGCATAATATGCACGCTTTTTCAGCACAGTCATTTCGGACTTTAAGTCTGTAATGACGTCAGAGGTCCAGGTTACCATGGAAGGCTTTTTGTCTTTGATCAATCGTTTTTTAACGCGGGTGTCATCCATAGTTTATCAGAGTTATGAACTTGAATAACGTTAGACGGGAATATGCAGTTTAATTCATTGGTAAAAGAGGACGCTAAACTAGACGCAGAGTTATTGCTTTCGGCATTAGTAAACCACTCACGTCAGCAGCACCATCTTCCAAAAGCTTCACGTGCCGACAAGGAGAAAGAACGTACATTTTTCTTAATTGCTTTATTATTCATTCTTTCGTCGTTAGTTTTCGCGGTCCATTTAACAATGTTATGATCTGACGAGCCGAGAGGTGCCATAATGACAGGCTTACAATACATGGCTTCTAAATTAGTAACACTATTAAATCCAAAATGTTACCTTCCACGTTGGAGTATCCACTATTTTGTGTATTATGATGGCACAAACTGAGATATTTTGAGTATTTGAATTTATTAAATTTAGAATAACTAATATTACAATCAATAATAATCAAGTATACAAGGCAAAGTAACACAGACACGAAGTTCCTCAAGTAGGACAAGACGTTCCTCACAAGGTTAACTGCCTTGAGTAGATTAACAATGCAATAAAGAATAAATAAGACAAGGAACATACTACTTAACTATAATACTGTCTTTGGGTGTTGTTATAGATCTGACCTGTTAATTAGATTCTAATTAGATTGTCTGCCTTACTCTGAATCCCTGAGCATTGTTTTTGAAAATCGAAATAAAACCGTTACAGTAAACCGGAATATCATCGAATTTCCTTCTGGTGTGACTCAAATTTTGAGTTTAGGAAAACTTATATTTCTACAAAGTTTCAACTGAATTATCTAAAATTAAAATAGTTTTTTTTATCAAATTTCGGCTTTCATAACATACAGTACACTCATACAGATACCCTTCACCACAATGAAAAGTCTTTGAAATTCTGATGAATGCGCCAGAGGTTCTGATTTGATTAACAGAGGTTCTGATTTGACTTCCACTAACGCTACCAGTAAGGGACCATTAATTAACCAATCAGATGCGTTTTATATATCCGATTAACCATCAGATGCGTACTAAGTCAGTGAGAGGTAGTAGAAGTCAAATCTGAACCTCTCTAGATAATGTTCTCCATACTGAAAGAATGTAAAAGTTTGTTTTCTACCATGTCCATGATTAACAGCAATGATTCCAGATTATCTATAGAGAACGTGCTTCGCAATCATGTTTTCAACAGTATTAATTGTTGAAAAAGTTTTGAAAATGTTCTTTCGGAAAAGGCTTGTGTAACAGGCAATGTCATCATAACCAGCTGGTATACTTGATACAACTTCTTGTAAGCAGTTGAATGCATGTTATGCTCCATCAAAAACATAAATACACATGTTGGGCAATTGTTGCATCTTTTGCCTTTCTTGCAGCCTCTCTTACGACTTAATAGTTTATGACATCATCTTCAAGCCCTTCACAACCAACATTGTTTTCCAAGTCCAAAGTTGTCAGATTCATCAGTCTTCCATTTCGTGCTCTGGTGAGTATTTCTTCTTCTGTGTTGTCAAATTCACTTTTTAGGCTATCTGAATTGTCATTCGAATCATCGTCCTTGGGCCCGCATAAGTGATCGCCAAATATATCCATTATAGGCCTTTAGCCTTGACATAGCTTTTCCAATTTCTGTCTCGATGGACATTGTAATGTGAGTCAATTAAGATTAACTGTTACCAATATTAACTATTACTAATGACGGGGCCACGTGTATATAAACTAACGTATTGATATTAAAGTCTCTTTCAAACCTTACTACATGGTGGCAGCGGTGGAATACTCGAGTGACCAAAAGAAATTAAATAAACTTATTATAAACTAATAAGCACAAACGATATAAAAACAACAAAACAAAAACATAGTATACGTACGTGTGAAATAGAGTACAAGAAACCTATTTCAGCATAAGTTAAATGTGGCAGAACCAAACGAGGTAAATACCGCGAGAAGTTTCACAACATATCAAGTGACACCACAGGGGGCCCCACTATGAGTTATGATTGAAATAATATTGTATTTATTCTTAAAAACCTACTTGAATCCCTTGATAATAGACGGCCGGCCAAGTCATCAATTTGTACAACTGGATGGGAACTTTATGTTAGAAGCTGGTAACAGGCATTTTCTTATAGTTCAAGCCTTGGTGAACAAGACTACATGTGTTACCACTTCTGATTTTTGCTTTATAGCAAAAAAATTGAGAATTTTAAATTTTTGCCTATTAAATTACTATGATCGGAAAAAAAGTAAAATTTCATGTTCTCTTATACGAAAAATAAACTATACCACTAGAAAGAGCGTAAAAAACTATATATAAGACAATTAAGTGAGTCTACCTTTTTCCAACCCTATTTCGAGTTTTTAATGTTAAAAAATGCAGAAATGACCAAATTAACTGCTATTTAGTAATTAGTACCCATTTTGCCAACTTTAACCATCTTTAATTCAAAATCGGCTTGAAAATCGCACTAGTCGCTTAATCGTCTTATATATAGTTTTTTGCGATCTTTCTAGTGATATAGTTTATTTTTTGTATAAGAGAACA